TCGACCATTTCTGGCCAGCAACTTTCAGCGTCATTAAGCCGCTGCGCCACCGCATCCCCCAGGTTCTGACATACTGCCCCTCTAAAACAAAATGCCTTGCATCTGCGTTGATCAGGTTACCTAGAAAGCAACAGAGTAAAATTACACAATAAAAATGCATTTAACCCATTTACCCCTTCACATTATTTGGGTTTGTCTGGATACTTATCATGAAACTCTAACAGTAAGTCCAGTGCTTCATTGCTGTGATTCTGTGAAGGCAGCCAAAGCTCACACCTGTGGCTGATGTCATGCTTTAACCCAGATTAACAACCATTGTAGGCTAACCCAAATAATGCCCTTGAATGATGACCTCACTAAGCTTGAGTTAAGAGTCCCTTTCCTTCTGATGCTCCAAATTAAGTAATGATTTTCTATATATTGACCACATACTTTTCAAGGTTTGTGGCTTTAGCCAGTAAATATAAGGTTGAAAATTCTGAATGCTACTTTAAAGCAGAGCTGTGCAATTTCTTTCTATCCAGGGGCTTTAATTGCCCTTTGAATGTCATGCCATCTGGCCACACTGCAAAAAGTAGGAGCAGCAGGACAAAAAGTGTTTTTCCCCTAAATAATTACGTGTGAGTTAGGGATATTCTTATATTCACTGTTAGGAATAAACAAAACAGAAGAAGGGGCTGGAGATACAAATAACTGCAGACCCCACTGCTGCCCAGCATCTCTGAAACTGGGACATTACTTGAGAGGGGCTATTTGGTAGAAACCTTTGAAAACAGTCTCCGGGCTCTATCCATGACTTCTGGGGGGGCGGGTGAAGGGGGAGGGCAGGTGGCCTAGGGCTGTGCTGAAAATGATGACTCTGTTCATCACCAATCTGTAAAGGAATATGCAAGCAATGCTAGTTTTACTTCTATAGGCTGATAATGACATCTTATCTTACTACTTCTAAGATGTACCTCTAGTTATATAGTTGTAACCTTTGAATTTTTGTCTCATTGTCAGCTCATTGCTATTATCATTCTAAGTGTTCTTCATTTTTGTTTGTTGACATTATTCATTTCACTCAAATTATCATAACAATCTGCTCTTTTCACCATTGGTAATTTCTTGTGCAATTGTATTGTGGAAAATAACCTTTCTTCCTCATAATCACGATCAGAATGCAACAAAATTATCAGTAGAATTAGTTAAACTTTAACTTTTTTTTCAATTATTTTAAATTTCCCCCTGTTCACAGCATACAAACTGACTTCACTGGTGTTGGAGCAACACTTTTAATACGGAAAGCAGAGAGCTTTTCAAAGGTCTGAAGCCCATCATTAGTAAGTTGTACCATGGGATTTACTGTTTAGGCAGCTGAGCCTTTATTCTAGATCTAGAGCATACCTTTATTCTAGATCTGTGTCTCTGGTTTTGATTATTCTAGTTTGGCTGTTTGTCCAGTCATTGATGAATCTTTACAATCATTTTCTTTTGTTCCAGCTATCTTATATACTTGTTGCAGTTAGGATGAAGTGAGGGCTGAATTCATGTAAGATGTATGTGTGTATATAAGTGTAAGTGTAAGTAAGTAATTAGGAGATTAATAGGAGCAGGAGACACAGGTTCTAGTTTACCCTCAGACACAGAAATTCACTGGGTGACTTTGGGGCAGGCAGTCTCTCTTAGTCCAACCTACCTCACAGGGTTTTTATTCTGGGGGAAAATAGGAAGCAGGAACACTATGTATTCTACCTTGAGTTCCTGTAGAAAAGGTGGGATACAAATCAAATAAATAAATACATCCATATATACAGACACTTTCTTTCAGTGGAGGGCCTCAAGCTAATTTCATATTGACTGTTGAAGGACGGCTACCAGGTAAAACCAAAGAACACTGAATTGAATAGGTGAAGGGTGACCTTGTATGCTATATTCTCCTAGGAATTTTCTGTGGAGGGATCTGTTGGCACTTTTCATTAAAATACACCTTCCTATTATCTGACAGAATTTGTAAATTCAGGGTAGTGAATATGCATCTCTATTATGATGTTGATTTATTAATAGTTCTGCAGAGGTGTGAAATCAAAGTATAGAGTAGGGGAGACTTGGCTTAAGTTTGGCACATATGAAAAATCTAGTGAATCACAAGTTTACTATAAGCAATATATGTGAAGCAGCTGTTAAAAAGAAACAGATTCTATTTTATTTTAGTCACACTGTATTTGAAGGTTACTCTTACTGTTTTTATGAACTGAATATAAAAACAAATAGGAAATATAGAAAGCTATAAAGAAAGAAAACTAAAAAAGAAGACTAAAAAAGAAATAAAACCAATAGACTGTATATTCATGGATACATATAGAGAAGTTTTAATGAATGTTAGCTGTATTTCATTATAATCATCCATAGCTAATCACCACTAAAAAACAATTGCTCATAACATCAATTCTGTAGACCACTGAGTAATTGGGGCCATATAGTTATCCTTCCATTGCTGAAGAGCAAGTCTTTTAGGAGTAAATAGGGCATGGACAATCCACTGTTGTTCTCCAGATATCAATTTCCATACAACAAGAATATACTTTAAAAGAATATGTACAACTGAGAATATTAAAGCCTGTCTCAAACTTGAGGGACTGCATGTAACAAGTTTCTCTCAAAATGGAACAGTTATATAACACTGTACACATAATATTTAAATAAAGCATTAATCTTATTGCATCTCCAACAAAAGATCAATTTACTCAAGTCTGTTTTGTGTAAACACAGTGGATTCCATTCAGTCTGAAAGATTCTTGTTTTTGAACAAGACATAATCTATTGAAGTTTTGGGATTTGATGTTAAACACCACTTCTCATTGACTAGGCAAAATAGGAATCTAACTATTTTGTTCAAATATTAAGGTTTTATTATGAAATTGATTCATTACCAGCAGAATTTTATAAAGTGTAGTTGTAAGATTTTTGTGTCATAGGATTTAGTAATTGCCTGTAATAGATTAGATGCTTCCAGGGTTGAAAATGCTGCAGCTCCAAACTGAGATGACACTAACTATTAATGTAACAACTGTAAATACTGCTACTGATCCTACTAAGTAGATGATAGTTATCATTTAGTGGAAAAATGATAAAAAATCATCATTTTCATCTACAGATTTATTCTAACTATAAATTTCCCCTTCCAACCCAATTTTCCAAATAATAGGAAAGAGAAAGAGTTTGGTCTAGGTTATTTTCAAGGTTTCTTCCAGTTCTGTTTCTAATTTACAGCTAACGATCCTTGCAGAAAACCATAGCTGCCTTCTATTAGTAACTAAGTTGTATCTCCAGTTTCTTTGATGATGTTTCACTAAATTAACATGAACAACCAGTGAATTAGTGATGTATTGACCAGACTATTCTAACTTTCCATACTCATTTCTCAAACAAGGAAAGGCTCCTCATCAGTTTTCATGACTGCTTCATTCATTCTACTGCTTATTTTTACCTAGGCTAAACAAAGTTCCTCCTCATGAGCTTGATGAAACTTCATAATAATTAAGGTTTATTCTTTCTTTGTAGAAGTGCCAACATTGTTAGATCAGGAGATAGAAGCCACTAGAATGTATAAGGCCAGGATATTTATGATCAGCAATTGTACTGGATTTGAGGACACTCTACAGTGTAATCTTAGATAAGGAATCTATTTTTAATACTCCCAAGAGCCTTTACAAGTGTCTGCTCATGCCATACTGGAAACTTGTTACCCAGGATATACTTTCTGCCTTTGTACTTTCTACATTGTGCTCTTTCCTAATGTTTCCTAGTCACATTTTGTCACTTAACTCAAAATTGCACCTATAGTTTTCTCAGTGTATCGTTACTATTTTTTTTCTTTTTCTTTGGTTACCAAAATGGGTAAGCCAACCATGTACTTTGGGTTGAAGTGGACCTTCATCCATAACCAAACAATTACCAGTTAGTAACTGTTTTACATTTATGATACATTTTAGACTTGGGCTGGCTCTTGCCAAATTACTCAGCCATAATCATATTGGCACCTAAGGCCAAAGGAACGTTGCAATGGTTTCTTTTGAGTATTGCAGCTGCTGCCTCAATAACTGGAAAGTAACTGAAAAGCTGAAAGTTCATTGTTTATCAGAGGTCTTTGTATACATATTCTCTGTCAATTTGTAGCAGCCAAGATATGGATTATCATTATCTTCACATTAATATTGCTTGATGTACTACTTCTAGAAATGCTTGAAATGGCTTACAAGAAAACGATACAGTTTTACATAAACCATCAAAATAAAATTAACAATCCTTAAACTAATAGAATATTAAAGTTGTGTTTAAATTCTATTCATTTCTTTCTAAGACCTCTACTTGTACACATTTCCTCCTAAAACTACTCAGTACTATCAGTAGAAGAAAAATTTCATGTCTATCTAGAGAAATCAGTAGTACTCCAAAATAAATGGCCTTGCTAGTGATGCTGATTTGTAACTGTCACTGCCTAGCACAGCCTTTCCTAAGCTGAACTCCAGTCATGTGGATTTCAACTCCCAGAACCGAGAGGGCTTCAGCCCACATTGCTGCTGCTGAGAACTCTGGGCAGGAAATCTGCGTCTCTCAAGATGCCAGGTTTGGGAAGACAGGTCTAAAAGACCTAAAATGGTCTGAATGTGAAACCACTGAATCTCATCATAGTCTTAAATGATTATCACCTTCTTAGAGCCATAGAATGGGGTGGGGTGCCCTTTTTTGGCCTGTGGGCTGAATTCCCTCATAATAAACTGGGGTGACATAGCTGTGTGGTCAAAGCACACAAACTATATTCACTCTCCCACTGATCCATTCCTTTTGTGTTTTTATTCTGTTCATATTCTGCAATTCTCCTCAGCAATAATGGCAAACAGCAGTAAAATGATATAATTATCTGAGTGGAGAATTTATTCTGGGGCTGCTAGTGCCGGGGCTTACAACTTGTCTGGCTGGTTTGACTATTGATTACTTGGCTAAGACTTCTGATGCAAAATTCTTCCATCTGTTGTTGGTTTCTGCCTCTAGGCAACATTCATTACTTAATTCAGTTCTTATAATCTCTATTTCTTATGCTGTGTTCAATTGTTGCAATAAACTATTGACTGGGGGGAAAAAAACTAGCATCTCCAGCCCAGGTTTCCATGTTTCCATCCCGCCTTTCCTTTTCTAATGGTCATGAGGATAATTTCAAAAACTTCTGGTTCCATTTTAATTAGTCATAATTTAGTATTAGAGGACAGCTCTGAACAAAAGTTTATCTTAACCATTGTTTGTTCGAAAGATGCATAAATTAGAGTTTGATCTTAATTTAAAAGAAACCATAGTTGAGAGTAATCAGTTTGCTGGTTGTACATATCCTCTGTAATGAATAGCAATGTACAACCAGTGGCAAACAAATCATTTTGACACGCAGCTGTGCTGGAGTAGAAGGGGGAACCTAGGCTAGATTGTGTTACAATAACCTATGATTAATGTGATGCCTGAACACAGTAACTAAAAAGAGGTTCTTGAGTTAATACAGGAGCAAAATGGCAAGAAAGTAATGTCAGGGTTGGTGTGCTCCAGTTAATTATTGTAGCAACACAATATACCGTGCTTGAGAGAAATATTGATCAAAAAGGTTAGTTACACAGTGAATTATTTATTCATGGTTAATAAATAGTGTGCTTAAAGAAAATGCTGTATTGAAGCCGTGCTGTGGCCCTGTAAAAACAGGAAAGGGAGTGATACTTCTGAATGCAGATATTTAACCTTGAAGATGGAGGAAGTGATGTTCAGCTCTTTTGGATACATACACATGGTAGAGTCTTCATAACTGTGGTTAAATCTCAGAAATCAGACCAGTGACTAGCTGAGTATGGCTTTCAATGGCTACATATGAGATTTAGTATCTCTGTCATGATTAGCAAGAACTATGTTTAACTTAAACACTATAAGTTTCAGAACCTAGGTGAGGGTTTTTTAGTGCAGAATTCTAACTTTTTATATTACACAATCTAACACTACGTCTTATATTAGGTCTCAGTAATCTTGTGCTATCCAGATGTTTTGGAGTATCACAGTACTTTAATTTGGTCCATGCTGACTGGGGGCTGGCAGGTGGTAAAGGCAGAAGCATCAGGTAAAGGCAGAAGTATCAGATTGCTTGATTTCTATTGTTACCGACAGCTTTTTGGCCTTTCGGAGTCTGTAGTAAACTATCAGAGTTTGGGGGGGAAAAGCCTTTGTAGGATCAATGTAATGTGTATTAAGTTCTGATGTGGAACAAAGTTATCATAAGAGAATGGTTCCCAGTGAAAACTCTCTAGAGCATCTTGCCCAGTCTAGCACCTTATGGGTGTGTTTGGCTACAACTTCAACCAATATAGCTGTTGATGGGAATTCTAGTCCTAAATATCTGCACAGCACTGGGTCAGAAAGGATGCTTATTGTGTAAAGACATTAAAATACTATTTTTTCCACTCATCTAATAGAATTACTTTTAATTTATCTATAAAACACTCATTTGCATTGTTAATAATAACCCCAGAACAGATAGTACATGGGAAGATTCACAACTCTTAGAATATATCAGTATGTATGGATTTTAAATTGGTTAAACAGAATTGGATTTATATAGCTTTTGGGGTGGGCAGAAAGGGATTAGTATGAAGTAAGCATAGGCAAGGACCATAAGAAGGCAATAATAGTAAAAATGCAGCTTTACTAGCCTGACAAGGCAATATTGTTCCTAGCATAGCAAAGATATAGTACTGTAAGCAACTATACTTTTTTAAAATAGTCATCATTATCATTGTAATCGTAATGCATAGTCTAAGAAGTAGATGGATCTCACTTATTCAGCATGAAACATTTATTTGTATAGGAAGAGAATGCTCAATAGATCTGCTCAAGAAATCCGTGATATTGACAGAAAGAACCCCCCTTTCAGTTACTGATTCATTACTGCTCAAGCAGGATAATTTCAAAAAAGGTTTTAAAACCTTATGTTGCTGTATAATTGAGCTGAAAATGAGAAAATTATTTCAGCAAGCTAGTGAAAAGGGATATCCTCTATAATTATTCTCACACGAACGCCTGGAAATTAAATTTGGATTCCTATGACTCATTGCTATTCAGGATGCCAAACTTGAGGTTTGAGTGGTGCTTCATCTTGCCTTTCTCTTCACTTTATTCAAGGACGTCCCTGAAGAACCTTTGAAGTGGAGATGACACACCCTGAAAAAGAAGCAAATGGATTAGACAATCCCACTTTTATTGTAAGTTTGTATTTTCATTTTAAGTCAAATGCCTGCATAAATGAGTTTGAGCTGTACAAAAGAAAGCAAAGAGCAAGAGTGATGTGGGCAATAGCTGGTGTCACGTGCAATTGTTTAGATTTATTGTAAAACTAGGTTTTTCCTCCCGAGAGCTATTAGAGTGGTACTTAACACATTCAAATCTAAGCTGTAACATTTGCTGCTTGTATTTCCCCCTTTTTTTATTCTGAAAAAAATAGGAGAAAGGACTGATAATAATTTTAATGGGAGTCCTTTCTCCTGTATTTGCCAGAATATTAATTCACCAGAAATCATATACTGTAATTTCCTTCTCAGGTTTTAAAAAAGATAATCTGTTATTTCTTGCTATTCACCATCTACCTGAAATAGAACAGACTGTGACAAAGAAATAATGCTACAATTTAAGAGGCTTTCATGTTATTTGTTTGGAGTTTTTTGTATACCGCTTCTCATTAAAAAAAACCTTGAAGCAGTTTTATAGTCTTTTGCACATTCTTCCTCTCTCTTTTCTATTATTCTGTGCTATTTATTTATTTATTTATTTATCAAATTTATATCCATTTAGTTATAATTTGAAATTTGCAGTTCTCAAATTTGCAGTGCCATCAAGTTGGTGTTGACTCCTAGTGACCACATAGATTTTCTCCATGATGATCTGTTCCCAACCTGAACCTTCAGGTCTTCCAACAGTGCGCTTATTGCCGCTGTAACTAAGACTATCCACCTTGCTGCTGGTCATCCTCTTCTGCTCTTTTCTTCCATATTTCCCAGCATTATACACTTCTTAGAGAGCTAGGTCTTCACATAGTGTGTACAAGATATGATAATCTGAGCCTGGTCATTTGCACCTTAAGTGAGAACAGTGGATTAATTTGTTTTAAGATCTGCTTGTTTGTTTTCTTGGCTGTCCGCGGTATTCTCAGGAGTCTTCTCCAACACCAAAGTTCAAAAGCATCAATACTCTTCCTAGCCTGCTTCTTCAAAGTTCAACTTTCACTCCCATAGAGTGTCACAGGGAATACCGCTGCCTGCACTATTCTGATCTTTGTAGGTATAAACACATCACATATCACACACATATTGTGAAATAAAGAGAAGGAAAGTATCTGTTAGAATCTAGTGGCACAAGTTTGAAAAAGTTTTTCCTAAGCCATTGTGGAGAGGATCATAGCTCAATAATAGAGTATGTTGTTTTGATCCTATATACTTTGTATCTACAATCTCAGGTTAAAGAACCATAAGTAGATGGTGCCAGGAAAGTTTTGTACCAGAGATCATGGAGAACTCTTACAAGTCTAAATATTGGCTAAGTGGGCCAACAATCCGGTTTGGCATAGGGGGCTTCATATGCCTGAAAATGTTATGCATGACCGTCATGCTCAAAGTTTTTTCTCTGTAGAGATCTGACTGTCAGACAGTTGCAGAGGAAAAAAATACGTTTAAACTCCTTAGAATTGCTTGCAAACTGGCACATAGATTTCCAAAGAAAGAAGTATAAAAGAAGACAGAGCAGGTAGACAGAAGGTAAGGTGAGGGGGTCTTCTAGGTTTGGCAGGAAGTGCCACTGGAGTGAGAGGCAACTGGACGAAGCATGAAGCAGAGGAGGCAACGGTGGGAGAGCCAGGAGCCAGAGGATCCATGGCCAGGGAGCAGTACTGGAAAGAAGCCGGAGGCAAGAGAAACCAAAGAAGGAATCTGCAAAAAGAGCCATCCGAAAGGAAAATGCAGCCCTGGACTGCAGGCAATGGAGGCCAGATTCCACGTGGTTTGGGTGCTTGATAACTGGGCAAGAATGTGTTCAGGAGAGAAGTAAGTGGAAGAGGAGAGGAGCTCGGTGTTTGTCTTATAAAGTAAAGGAGCCGACATCTGAGTCATTTAGATAACTTTTGTTAGTATATTATACAGTTAGATTTATTAGTGTACACAGTTATGCTTGGTTATGATAGGTAGATATATATAAATACTTGCTCACTAAAAGTCTTGTAAATACACTTTGCACTAAGCTGGTTTAGCAATAAACAACATCATATACAATTGTAAATTGGTTTGCATGTCTGGCTTCCTTCCTATCCATTCCCACCCTCCAACATTGCATCTTTACTTCCGCTTACTTGTTCTTGAGCCCACGTAGTTTATTTCTCTGGAGTTTTAATGGGCTCAAAGTGGGCATTCAATATTTTTAAAGAGACTTTATGCTCACTTTGACATATTTTCTGTGGATCAAATTTTGTGGATATCTGAAAAGTGGCCAACCCAGGAGGAGATACATGAATTTCCCAAAAATGAATGAAAATTCATTTTGTATGTGCTGTACAAATGAATAGTAGCCAAAGTGTCAAATAATATAGTGGTCTCTTCTATGTGTATCCCTTTGTGATTCCAAGGGATAACACATCAAGTGGCATCTCACCTGGAGGACAGGTGACAGCACTTCAGTCTTTTTTGTATCAGGTCAGTCTATGTTATTTGTCCAGCCATTTTGATTTAGCTATGTCTGTTCACTGATTATGTATCTTATTTTGGTGACTAGTATGGTCAGTTTTGCTATTTTGCATGACTAGCTTTTGAACATCAGCTTTATATGAACTGGAAGGATGGAAGACTGTTTAGAAATTCTTTAATAAGGTAAATGTTACTAACTGAGATATTAATCCTTTTGTAAGAAACTTGGGATGGTGTGTGTGTGTGTGTGAATAATAATAATAATAATAATTATTATTATTCATTTTTACCAATATTAAGAGCAAGTGAGCTGTGAGGGGTGCTAATATTCAGAGTTTTAGCCAATGAATCAACCATCCCTCTTCCAGATTACTTGGCAATATTCTCCTTTTTTATTCTCCCTGTAAGAGACACTCAATGTTCTGTGGTCATTGAGCCATACCAGATGGTGGGCAGATTTTGCCCCATTATTTTTTTTTCCCCTCTTTAAATGTTTTCTGCATTTGCTGGTATCTTCTGATTTTTCAAATTTGGTTGCATAGCCACTGACATTCTTTACTTAAATTAGCTGTTGGGGCTAGGATATTCATACACAGCTTTACATTTGTCTCTTGTAAAAACCACGTAAAGCAGACCAGTAGCTTTTCTGTATACAAGGAGTCCCCGGGTTAAGAATGGCTGAGTTACAAACAACCCATAGTTAAGAATGGAGCCTATTGGAGCAAAATTTGAGTTAAATACACAATGATTCAAGTTAATTAAACAATGGTTCAAGTTCATTACACAATACTACTTATACAGTATTATACAATAATATTGTTCCAGCTTAAGGACAGAACTTGGGAACAGAACTCCTTCTTAAACTGGGGACTACCTGTATTGTAAAAGGGAAATTGAGAACTATAGTTAGAGATCAAAAGGCCAACATTCAGACCCAAGCTGGCTCTCAAACGTATTCTATATTTTCTTCATCTGTTCTTTTTACTGCTGTGGCCCAGTGCCTTATTCCTCAAAACTGGTTGTGCTGCTGAAAAAGTAAAACCTGTCCTCTTTAGTAGCAGAAAAATAAGATCAACATCATTTTCTTTCCTACTTAGAACAAACAACTTATGCATTTGTTTATGAGTATATCATGCTAAGGAGAAAAGATAAGACAAATGAAGTATTTGTGATGTATTTATTATCTAGTTTTTTAAAAAGAGAGTAATGAAGTAGGTTGTTCACACCTTAGTTATTCAATTAAAACATTTTTTTAAATGCTTTGAATTGAGTTTGCTATGAAGAAAAATTAAAATACTGTAAATTCTACTGATTTTCTATACTATCAAAATTCATTTGCAGTTTTTTCCTCTTGGTTTCTCTCTTCTTGGTACTCATGAGGATAGATATTCCAAAGAAGTAAAATGATTTATAAATTAATTTATAAATATCTTCCCAAAAAAAGGTATGTGTCCTCTTCCAGTTCAAACAATAATGAGAACATTGAAGTCCTTGGTGCTCTCTGTTGTTTGCTTGCAGATGTTTCATTACCCAACTAGGTAACAACATCAATGCAAGGGAGGGTGGGGTTTGTATACAGTAGCTTGCCCTGCCAGTGTTGGTGGTGATGTGGTTTTCTCCTTGGTAGTTCCTCGATTAAGATATTGTTTTCTGTTTGATTGTTTGTCTGGTGTTAATCCCTGCTTATCTGGGTGTTGGCTGCTGGAAGGGATGTGTTCTGGTCTTTTTTGTTTCCTTTTTAGCTTTTTGTGGTCTCTTTTGAATGGTCTGTAAATATGGTTTATTTCTACATTTCTATTAATGGCTGATTTGTCTGAATGCCAAGCTTCCAGGAATTCCCTAGCATTTTTGGATTTAGCTTGGTCTAGGATGCTCAG